TGCCATTGGGCCCTATGGAAAATATTTAAGAACTAGTATAACAGTGCTAGTACCCTGAATGTTTAAGATACCAGATTCAAAAGAAGTACAACATTAAAATAATTCAGATATCATTGATTGCATGCATTTGCGAAAAAGATTGTTATGTCCTGACTTGCTTCTTTTCTTCCTCTTATTCTTCCCTGCTGATAAAAGTATATCATATTCTCACCTTTATTGACCCATAATGCCTTGTGTTTGACAAATTGAAACAAACTGAGAGGAGATATGTACCATTTTTACTGGGAACATGTTGATACTACTGCTTTGGTATGCAGTTTTATAAAGCTTTATTTAAAAAAAGAATGGACACTGTCAGAGGATATCAGATACAGGTAGTGTTCGCTTAACAACGATAATTGGGACTGGCAACTCTGTCACTAAGCAATGTGGTCATAAAGTGTGATATCATGTGACCATACCAACTTACAACAGCAGTTGCAGCAGTTCCAGTTGCCATCATTAAGCAAATCCCACACAGCTGTTAGGCACAATGTCACATGATCACCATCTGCAACCTCCTGCCAGCTTCTCCACTGGTTTTGCTTGTCAGAAGCTGGCAGTGAAAGTTGCAAATGGTGATCATGCAACTGCAGGACGCTGCAACAATCATAATTGCAAACCAGTTGCCAAGCGCCTGAATCATGATCACATGACCGCGGGTACATTGTGACCGCAGCAACTACAAGGATCAGTCATAAGTCTCCTTGTTCAGCACCGTCATAACTTTGAACAGTCACTGAATGAGTGGTCATTAAACGAGGACTACCTGTAACTATATTCTGCTCGCTCTTCATTTGAGACTGTAGAGGTTCAGCATAATTCTGAAGTGCATGATTACAGTTAAAGAATATACTAAGTTTGAAAAAAGGAAACATGAAACTATCATAATATATTCAGTAAAAAGTCAGGATTGTACTAAAATGCCATATTTATGTAAGAATACAGATATGCCTAATATCTGAAACTCTTCAGGATATCACAATAAATCAAAATGTTGTAATACCAAGCTCAGAGTTCAGGATAAGCAAATTAATGTAAGATATTATTTTGCATTGTATCTATTCATATATCTCAAAATTCATATTGGAGCAAAACAGAAAAAAACAAATTATTTTAAGAATACTTGTAAGTTCCACATGTAGCAAAATGGCATCTTTTAATATTATGTAACAAAATCCCAATCATGAAGTATGCTTATCAGAGGCATCCTTTTAGAAGTATAGCACATAGGTGTGCTTTGCACACAGACACAAAAATCCAACAGGTATGTCCTACATGGCTGCCAGTTTTGCCTCCTGGACTGCTATCTTCACCCTGCTGTGCAGCACTCCACTAGGTCTTCATCCACTTCATTTCAGCTAGCCAGCACTATCTCTGGGGAACCACTAAAAACAGAAGCTAACCAGTACCTGGACCCCTCCCATATTCTTCCCTTGCTACTGTTCCAGTGTGAATGAATATAGCTGACCCTCAGGGCAAGAAAACAATGGTGGAATGGCAGCAAGATGCCATGGCATTTCATTTCAGCAGGAGAGGGAAATCCCAAGAACGAGGATGAGGAGAACCTTCCCACCAGTGGTGAAGTGCACACCAGCAGATACAGAGGAAACACAGAAAATCTACCTTTGCCTCTGAACTGCAGCCATGAAACTTACGCCTTTTGATAAGATGTGATAGTCAGAAAAGGTGCTACCAGCCTCTTTCTGATTTTTTCCCATCTATTTTTTCCCAGTACTGTTAATACTGACATGCAATGACTTTCTAGTTTAGACAGGACTGCTCCTCTTCCCTACATATACAATAGATGCTAGGATTAAACAGTGAGTCTTTTGCATTTAAAGCATGAATTTAATCACAGAATTACAGCCTTTCCTTGAAGGCCTGGCTCTTTTTTCTGCTGAGGGAAGAACAAGTTCAATCATATATTAAAACCCTTTTTTTCAGCTATGGTGTGCCTCAAAGAACATTAAGTTCTATAAAGAACTGATAATAGAGAATAGCTATTATTATCTATATGATAGAGATCTTGTAAAAAAGAAAAAAGAGAACTTTATGCTATATAACAAGTGAATGGTTATAAATATAGTTTTAACTGATGATTATACATCTAAAGCTGTTAACTGATGAGTAACATTCACTCTGTCCAAGGCATTTTTGAAGGTATTTTTGACTATGTTAAAAAACTGACATTGAAAAGAAAAACATATGATTCAGAAAGTTTTGGTAAAAAAAAGTAGAAAAATAAAAAAATGTTCATGCAATCAAATATGAAGTTTTATTAATTGATAAAGCAAAAAACTTCCTTGGTTCAAGTGTTTCAGTAATATGTTCTTCAAATATTTTGTTGCTGGAGCAGTGTTGTTTGATAACCTTAATGAAGATAACAAGGAAGTACAAAGTTCATATGAGACTTAAAAAGCAATCTCCAGATAAAATATTAAGTTTCATATCATTAAAAATTCCAATTTTAACTGTTAACCTTTCAGAAACTTACTTCACTATGCTAAAGATAAACTTTTCTTTTTGGCAGGTAAAGTTATTTTAATCCCAATTTTAGGGAAGAATAAAAACAATAAAATAAAAAACCCAATAAATTTATATTGTTCAAGCATCCCATTACAACTTTAAGAAACCTATATTTTACTTCTTGTATTATAATTTAAAAATTAAGAACAAAAAGATAATTTTGAAAATGGTAGCCTAAGATGTAGCTGCCAAAAAAAAAAAAAAGACACAATCTGTCCTAGAAATAATTCAGAGAGAGGAACTGGAGATAAAACTGTCAATAATGCTTTTATATAATTTTTTGTGACTACACCTAGAATACCACATCACGTTTTGATCAGTCACAGCCCCTGTAATTACTATACAAGGATATTGTACATTTAGTAAAGGTAAAAAAAAGAGCAACTGAAATTAGTAGGTTAGAGCTGTGCTCTTATGATGGGGACAATGTTTAGGGCTTCTTTGTTTTTTGTTTTTTTAGAGCAGTGTTTTCCAACCTAAGCCACTTTCATATGCGTGAATCAATTCCCAGAATTTTCAATAATGGTCAAACTAATACAGACATTCTGGGAGTTGAAGTCCACAGATCTGGAAGCTAACTGAATTGAAACTATGGTTTAGAGCGAAGGCAGATAAGAGGAGACAATATAGGTACATAAAACCATGCAAAGTATAGAAAGTGTGGACAAGAAGAAGTTCCTTTTGTGTTGGAATTTTGGGTCATCCAATGAAATGAAAACTGGGGGTGGGCAATAAAAAGAACTTTTTACTCAACACATACTTAAATTACAAAATTTGCTACTTTCTGGTGTGGTGATGTATACCAATTTATACAGCTTCAGGAGGAGACTAGATAAATTAATGAAAGACCTGATATCTTGATGCTTGATGCTGCTAATCTTCATGATTGTATATTAGTTCCTGATTATCAGCTGCCAGAGTGTTAACAGTGGGAGATGGCTATTGCCTGCTGTCTATACTTATAGGCTGTCCAAATGTCCCCAGTTGAACATTGTGTCATCTAGAATGCTAGACTAGGAGAACTCTTGGCAGGATTCTACAAAGTTCTTATATTTTTATCTACTGCTGCTGCCAACACTATAGGGATGAATAGCTTAAATCAGTGCTACTCATATGTTTTATGTAACACAATCTGTATTTTATTTTTTGTTTGTTTTTCATGTTTGTATGAGTGTGTCTGTTTTAATATGAGTTTCTGTGTATATATGGGCCATACACAAATTAAGTAAATAAATATAAATAAATAAATATGCACTTGTACTGAATATAATGTAAACAGAAAGGGAGCCTGTCTCTAGGATATGATGTGCTTTGATCCAATGAGAGGAAAAAGGCCCTAGAAACAGAGAAAAATAAACACGTTATCTATTCTGAAACACTCCCAGGCCCGCTGTTTGAGAAGAACCAGCCTACGCAATCCTAAAACGTTTAATCATAGGCTTCTGCAAAGTATTTGAAAGAAATATTTTGAAACATGCATTAGTGTGAATGAAGCATTTCTCTCAAAATTGTTAAAGAAGTTGTGTCTTTTGCATGAATCACACAACTCCTTGGAAAGATTTTCCAGTCATCTCATATGCATGTGCATGCATAGTCATTTCACTTTATAGTGGGTCCTCTGGAAATGTTGTTTGTGCACACGCAGATAACTGAGAACAGCTTTTGAAGCATGAGCCTTGCAAATTTGACGAGAGGTGCTTCATTCATACTAATGTGCATTGTGAAGCATCTCTTTCAAATGGTCCTATTCAACAATATCTCCACTGTATTCTTCTCTTTGACTTTCATCGTTCTAAAGAAAACATCAAAAAGCTTATAAGAACAGTCCTCAAAAATTATGCACAATATTCAGTAAGACAGATTTTTTTATAAAAAAAAGAAATCTCAACATACCTTATTTGCTAATCCTTAAAACGCTGACACATGTACTTTTTTATCATTAAAACAGTAGTGTTTTGTGTATCAGCTTGCTAAATCAAGACATAAGAGCAAAAATATATCTGTGATTGCATTTTGATTTGTAAAAGTGTAGCAGTACTAACTTGTACGTTTTATTCATTTTTGGATACTTGGAAGATACGGGCTTTTGTTTTTTAAGAAGTTTTGGCCTGTGTCTTGGAATATGCTGAATATTAATAGTTTTACCTAATAGAGGCATATGCCTCCAAACTGACCATGTAATAACACAGAGAAAGAAAGGTAAAATGCAGAATAGGCATCACAAACAAACACAGGATGGTGTCCCCCCAAATTTTTTCAGCTTGTTGTCTTGTTACTTTTCTACCACAGTTGTCTATGGACTTGCACTCATTGGAAAAATGTAATTGCAGGGATTCTTTCTTAAGTACTCAACATTTTTCTACATTCATTCTTACATACTATATTGCAATTTTATGGGATGTAGTTCCTTTGCCACCAACAGAGGCACTGACCTGGGAGAGAGGGCATTCTTTGGCTAACGTGCTCTGATTCATCTCTTTGAGCAACTCCTTTAAGGCATTGCGGACTGTGGCATGGTTCCACTGCTCTGCTGGCAAATCTTCTAGCTTCGAACAACTGCAAATACAGAACAGGAGAACAGACAGATGGAAAGTGTTGCCAGCAAATATAACTGCTCTTTACATGCAAGAGCTACAGCGCTCTGTAAAGCCAAACACAACTAAGAATAGGACATTCATATTTTATATATCACTCTTCTTTTCTACAGTGTAGTCATTTCTTCCATCTGCAATCCGGAACCTAGGAAGATTTCAGCATAAGTAACTGAATATAGGACTGCAGCCTAACCTGAGCAAATACTTACGTCGCCTATCACTGGCTGAATAAATTCTCCACCATTGTACCTTAGCAGATGGCAACATAAGAACAAGAGCCTTCAAGTCCAAAACTTAGTTCTGAATTTCTGGTTAAATTCTAGAAACCTTTAAAAAATGTTTATTTCTCAGGCATAATGTGCTAGATATTTAATCAGGTCTTACAGAATTATTGAATGAGTACCCATGGAAAATTCTCTTTTAAAGACTGACTACATTAGTCTGTACTCTAATATCTAGTTACAATATCACCCAACAAGAGCTGCCAGTTGCAATTCCTTCTAATATTGTGCTTTCCATTTCAAAATGACCTCAGAAATTAATGAAGATAGCATGTGTTAATCTCAGTAGTAATGGTGTGATTGACAGAGCAACTCAGGGAATAGAGAAGGGCAGATGTTCAGAAGTGCCCACCTTTGTAATTGAATTTTCAGTGTCACAACATGATAGACATCTTGCAACATGTCAGCTACTGTTGCATCAGGTGCATCTGTCATATAAGTTAGTGGAAGTGGATTCCATTTCCCAAGTTTGATTATTCCTGCAAACAAACAAAAAATGAAATAATCATATACATACATTTATATCTATATCTATATCTGTATCTATGAAGTGTCCAATTATTTTATATTTATTACAGTAGCAAAATGTTCTCTTGAAAATTTGTTGTAAGTATGGAGAATCTAAAGTTGGGCAGCTTGCAAACCTAATTTTACAACCTGAAAAACCCTTTAAAGATATAATTTTGGTTTTGAATTAAAAAGGACCTAAAAAGTACCACTGGCTCTTTACACTTAATATAATGTACTACATTGATTGACAGTGGCTTTCTGAGCTATTTGAGAATAACACTGGAATTCAGTTTAATGCATGTGATTGTATATGAAATGCTTCCGATTTAAATTCCAAAAAAGCATGCCAGTGTTCTAGGACAAACATAGCACCTGTTTGTAAGACAGGTGTGATGTTTGTGCTGTCATTCATTCTGAAGCATCTTTATGGAAACAAGTCCAAAGTGTTGCATAGCCCTACATAACATAATCCTTTAGAACAGGTTACTAGGCATTTGCTGGACCAGAACTGTTATGGAAAGGCTGCTAAAGAGAAGTATTTATTGCTTGACACAGAATGCCTAAAACATATCACAAAGGGAACAGAAATGTTAAAATCTTGCCATTGTTTTGGTATTAAGAATTCACAATCTGGTGCTAAACATGCTGCAGTATAAATAGAGCCTATACTCTTATCACGCATTGTAACATACAAAGCTCATTCGCTGTACTCTATGTCTTCAGAGTTGGCTCTTTATGCTGTATTCCCCTTGCCAACAGAAAGGTTGCTTCTCTTAAATGGGATAATTTCTAGGGGTTATGTAAATACAGGTCAAGAAACCATCAGACCTGCTTTTGATATTTATTTGGGAGTAAAAAAAAAAAACTGGTGCAAGGTATTTCACAAAGATATTTCATAAGAATGAATTATTCTGTTTAAATGAAACATAACTGTCAATATTTTCATAAATGACACTGATAAATATATTACTGGGTCCATCAATTCTTTGCTGCCATCTAGGGTTCATCTGTATTTTTGCAGCCCAGATCCAATAGTTCTAATATGAGTTGAGAAAGGTCTGCCATGCTAATCATAAAAATACACATGAAGATGTACATGTGGCATGTCATGTACTACCAGAGATCCAGATTACACATTATCAGATAGTTATTTACAACTGCAATAAGTTCTGTGTAAATAAGGCCTTTGTAAGTCTGTCAGGATAAGAAGAAGTATGCATGTACAACTCAGTTCAGTATATCTTCAGGGTGTATTGTGTAAAGTGGTAGAAGAAGAACATAAGTTGCTACATGATAGAATCATTATTAGTGTACAAAACTAAATTAATCACTGTGAAGAACCTATTCATATATTGGGTAGAAATGTAATATTTTCATATTGGGTGGGTGGAGATGTAACATTTACTATAAATGATGAAATATGAAAAAGAAGAAATGGATAACAAGGACACTGAATCTTCTCTCCAGTCAAACCTAGGCTGTACTCAAGCAGTTCTCAAGGGTAAAATGTAGTCGTATAGTTCAGTGTGGTCTGCGAACTCAGTGTGACTGGTTTGTGGTTCAGTATGTCTGGTTAACATAGGCACTGGGCTAATTCAGTAAATCATATTTCAGTTAACTATGGCTTAGTCTGATGGATTAACACAACTACTATAAATTAAGTCACCTTAAGCACAGCCGACACTTAACATCAGGTCAGGAGGAGGTTGAAATTTCCACTTTAAAAATCAACAGCAGCCATATTGGTCATTAGATCTACCCACAGAAGCTAGTGGGACCTTAAATAGTTCAACAGAAATTTTAGAAAATTGCCTCAAGCTTTCAAATATCTAGATTGTTTCATCAGGCAAGGTAGTTAGAGGAACAAAAGAACAGGAGGCAAAAATATGGTGGATCATGGAGCCGTGTCTACCAAGTTACACTGAGAATGAATGAAAAATCTTGAGACAAACAAATTGGATTTTATAAAGCACAGTTTTTAAAACTTTTTCAAGCCACAAAACATGTTAAAAAAATTCGTGGGATCCCGAATCAACAGGCAAAGCCCTAGTGATAGAAAATTGGCTGTGTTCAGGTTGACTTTTTTTTTCCCCCTTAGTCTCTCACAGAACACCCTCAAATTTTCAAACAGAGTTTGAAAAACCCTATTATAAAGAACAGGTTAGTGTTAGACTACAATTGTGTTACTACCACTGTTTTCTCTACTTTCTTAAAAATAAAGAAATTGTCCTGGCAAACAGTCCAGAAACACAGGTGTTACCATAACGCTCAGTGCTTTTGCACATAAACACCTGCTGCAAGTCCTTTTTGTTACAGTGCTGCAGACATGCTTTTTTTTTTTAGCGTTATTAGTTATGGATGAACACTTCTTAGCTCGCTTTGATTTTCAGTTTTGTCTAGCTCCAATATCCTGCTATTTTGAAAATAATTATACCAGGAGAAAGACACTATATTCTATCTTAAGAAAATTCATGCAGAGCATATTCAAAGTAAAAACTGATGTGTGAAATATCAGGTCATCACTCTTCTGGTTTGCCTACTGTCCCCAAACTTAACATCTCACCTTCCTGGATATTGCTTGCAAAATTGTACTATAGATATGCTTCATATAATGCTTTAAGGAATTTTTGCTTAATGTAGAAAGAAGAAAATAAAAGTATTGATTCCTCTTAGGGCACAGCCAGATACTCACATTGAAGTGCAACCCACTAATTCCTGACCTGGCAGAAAAATATGATGGCATAGAATTTGCTTCTCCAACAACCTCTCAATAACAAGTTTGTCAGGTGGTGCTGTCCTTACAGCTATAATGCAGGAGAAGTTAAGGAATATGATTTGTGCATTTCCATCTGTAATGGGTAGAAGGAAGAGCTGCTACCAAGACAATGGTCAGATAAAGGAAACTTGAGTCCAGGACAGAACTGTAATCTGAGAAAGCATCTCAGACAAGACCGTCCTTAGATCTCACAAAGATAAAGGGAGAGGGGGAAAAGTACATTCAGACTTGCAAGATTCTGTTACTATAAACTTATAATAAAAGTAGCTTTAGACTGCATAAATTTGGTTTCCTAGTCTGGTCTAACTCAAAGGGCTGACACCTTCCCACAAAGCTACACCTGCCAGCAGGAAAACCTAACCTAAATCACTCTCATTGACTTATGGTAAGTTGGTGCTGGGCAAGTGTAAACAGGAGTTTGAAACAGCAAGTTTTGCCATCTGTCAACTTGCCAATTGTGACTTGTCAAATCAGGCTATTACTGAAGACAGGTTCAGTGTTCAAAAGAGTGTTAAACTCATGTCCAGAAATAGTCAGGCTGACAGGTTGAAAGCAGCATAAAGGGGCATCGGGTAAAGTGGAAAAGGCTCCCTCCAGCTTCACTTTGTGCCCTTCCTCTGTGTCTCACCAGTCAGAAATGTAGACATGGGGTGCTATCAGTCTTTCTTAACAAGCTGGCTGGAAATAGGCACCTCAGGCATTCATGTAGACAAAAGTTTCTGACAGGTAGAATTATTGTAGAAAATCTAATGAAGCCATTACATATGAAAGAATTGCAGTGACTGCTACAACCGCCTGTCTCCAATCATTTCTGCCCGCCTGGTAGGTTCAGGCAGAGTGAGTGTACTCCACTTTTACTCAATTAAATGTTGCCATCTTGTGGGACCGAGGAAGCATGCCTTCTCTGTGCCCCGGCCCACTGGAATAGCATCACCCCAGAGGTACAGATGGCGCCTACTCTCCAGGGGTTGCGGAAGGCCCCAGCTGGGGTTAAGGTGTTTGTGGAGCCCCTGTTGTGTTTTTGCACTGTTATAATTGTTTTCTTGTCCAGGCTGTTTTGTTGGTATGTTTTGTTTTAATTGTATATTTGATAATGTTGTAAGTTCCACAGTCCTTTATAGTGGGCAGCTATAAATAAATAAATCTAAATAATAATAATAATAATTCTCAGTCACAAGCCCTATTTATAGTTATAAATGTCTGCAATTCTTTCTCCTGCTGAAGCAATATATGGTTTGAAAGCACCAATTTTGGAATGTGAGGGACAATTTCCAGTTGCTTCTTGTTTGGTGAAGGATAACTTTGTGAGAAGTAGCTCCTGCAGGCATGAAATGAAGCGGGAGGAAGAGATTGAGAATAAGCATGTTCCGTCCTCAACTAGCATTGCAAAGAAATGGCAATGCTGACAGTGAGTGACTAGGGCCAGTCTGGCCAGCCACAACCAGGCAAAATGGCACCATGCCTACACCAGAGTAATAAAAACTATAAAAGATATGTATATGTGAAGTCCCTTTTTGGCACAAGCAGGTGAAACCTCCATCTTTCCCCATCCATACCTCAACTGAATACAGCATTCCTAAAACCACATATCTTATGTACTCAGCCTGTCATGATACTGTGATTTTTGTCCCAACTTGCAGGCAGAAGCAATCACAAATCCACATTTTACAACTACAATTAAGCAGAGAACATTTGTGACTTTTGTACATAGCAAAACCATCTCACATGGCTCACATTATCCCAAAATAAGCTAGTTTTGTTTTCATTTTCATTTCAAAAGAAGTGGGGTATCAGATAGAAGGACAATCAAAACAACAAGTCCTAATGCAAATAGTCCTGAACAAAAAGGGTTCTTGTATTTTGCACATATATGTCAATGTGTGTAGATAAACTATGCTTATATTTAGAGAAACATGCATCAGAAATACAATTTTTTCTGCAAAAATTTTTTTTAAAGGATCTCTCAACTTGGGACAAGAATGGAATGAACCAGACTTAATTAATGGAAAACTAAGAAACTGAGAAAAGCCAAATTTGACAGATGCACCTAACAGATGTACCTGAGAAGCAAAACACTACCCTGGTTTACCAATTTAAAAATCAAAGGAAACTATGGCTAACATACTCTTGGAAATGGAAGAGAGGGTACATGAATTTATAGATACAGTATATGACATTGGCTGACACTGCATT